CTTCCATCCATCCATCCATCCATCCATCCATCCATCCATCCATCCATCCATCCATCCATCCATCCATCCATCATCTTATACAGTGCTGCAACCAACCAACCATGATCTTATATAGTGAGGGGAGTGGGGGCGCAGAGGTTAGAAGATGGGCTTGTGATCAAAAAGTCGCAGGTTCACCTCCCGGTACCGTCAACATCAAAATGTGAGTGGAAAAGGTGAAACACCCACACCTCCCTCCACCCTCATTCGCCCCACTCTGGGCCCCTGAGCAAGGCCCTTAACACCCACCATCTGCTCCCTAAACAGGTCTCTCTTGAAAATGAGTTCTGGTGGCTCAATGAGACTACCTGTATAAATAAAGGGTAAATAAAATAGTGCTGCAAGCAAGCAAGCAACCAACCATCATCTTATACAGTGCTGCAACCAACCAACCATCCATCATCTTATACAGTGCTGCAACCAACCAACCATCCATCCATCGAGGCATTCATGCATCCATCCATACATCCACTATCTTTACCCACTTCTTCATTTCTGGGTCATGGGGGTCACTGGTGCCCATGTCCAGCGATCACTGTGTGAGAGGCAGGCAATACTCTGGACAGGTCTCCAGTTCATCACAGGGACACATAGAGGCAAGGCAAACGAGATAAACAACCATATTTTTTTCTCTCTCACACGCACACCTAGGGACAATTTAGTTTCCAATCAGCCTAACATGTATGTTTTTGGTATATTGGAGGAAACCGGAGTACCCGGAGTAAAGTACCCGGAGTAAACCCATGCAGCATGGAGAGAAGATGCAAACTCCATCCAGAAAGACCCAAACCGAGATTCGATCAGGTGACCTTCTCGCTGAGAGGCAGCAGCTCTACCAAATCTAACCTCAAGTTTACAATAGATATCTCATTTCATAATTTATTAGACAAAAAAGACATAGTGGAATAGTTTGTAATTAAAACTGCATCCAGCAGCTTGTAGAACCTTTTCTTGCAGCGACCCCTCTCAGTAAATGTTTTGTATGACTTGTAAGTCTCTCTTATTGTGGGGACATTTTGGTAAACTCTTTTCAGATCTTTGAGGTTTGCAGACATTGGTTTCTGCTCAGCTCTCTTAATGTCTCACCACAACATTTCTATCTGGCTGAGGTCAGTATTTTGACTGAACCATTGCAACACCTGTATCTTTTTAGTTTTCAGCCATTCTACTGTAGATTTGCTGCTGTGTTGGGATCATTGTCCGGTCAGACAGAAAGCCTTGCATTTGACTCTAGAGTGTTTTGGTCTACAGATGACTGACTGAGTGACTGCAGGATGCCCAAACCATCAGCCTTCCACCAACATGCTTGACAGCTGGTTTGAGGTAATTTTTGCTGATATGCTCTGCTTGATTTTCTCTGTGTTACAAGAAAACAATTGTTGTTAGTTCCAAGTGTCCAAAGAACATTGGTCCATAAGTTTAGTGGTTCATAAGGACAAAACTGTCCAAACCCAAGTTGTGTTGCCATGTTCTTTTTAGAGATAAAAGGTTTTCTTCTGCAACACTTCCAAACAAGCCACACTTGTTTTGTCTTGTTATAATTGTCATGTCATGACCTTAGACTAAGACCTGTAGAGTCTCAGATGTAGCACATTTCTCTGAAACAAATGCCTCTCTAAGATCACTGCTGATGTCTTGCTGCCTTGGCGATGTGTTAACACACACCTGCATGCTCTAGAGCAGCAAACTGATAAAACACTTGCTCACACTGATGATCAGGTAATCAGTACATTTCAGAAGCTCGTGGCTGCTACCGATCTTAAATCATGTGGAAGCAGCCAGGCCAGACACAGTTGTTCCACAGACAGCTCTTCCATTTTGGCTTCATTTTTGGTAAATAATGACATCTGTTGTTTTGATTTTGCACATTTAAATTAGAAAAGTTTACCAGCTTGGTAAAGACAAGATCATTTTAAATAAGTCATGAAAAGTAAAACCTCGGAACTGAAGAAGAGTTCACTTTTTTCCATGACTATATGCAGACTTTTATTTTAATACACTATATTATAAATAATACTGTGTGGGGTGTGTTTTCACCAGATTTGTCTTTCTGAGAATTTGTGAGGACTTGTGAAGACTGCAGGTTTAAATGCCCTTATGAACATCTTTTTCAAGAGTTATTGACTCTTCATCATGTACTTGTTTTGCTTTCTTTGAGTAACATTCAGCACGTGTGAGGACTGCACACTGAGACACTAAGAGGATCTACAGCACTCACTTGCTACTTCCAGCGAAGCATTACGACTGACCGCCTCGCCCAGATAGTTGCGCGCCACACATACATAGATGCCCTCATCAGGTTTGCTTCTTCTTCCATGAACAATTCGCAGGAAAAAGAGAGAGCCACTGGGCAGTAGCATCCGGTGGGATCGGGGGTCCTCTCGATCTGTCTCGACTCGCTCACCATCTTTGTACCACTCCACCATTGGTGTGGGCCGTCCCTCGGCCTTACAGTTGAGGGTGGCTGGCTCTCCCTTGGAAACGATCAAATCAGACGGATGTTCAATGATCCGAGGAGCAGCATCCTCTAACCTCGGTCGAGATCCTGCAGGAAACAAGACATTGCAGAAAAGAGTTGAAGATACTCCTACTTGGATTGTAAAAACTGAACTTTATGAACTAAAAAATGTCTGAGTGAATATTTAAGGGTGCCAGTGCAGCTGCTGTTTAAAGTTCCAACCTACAGTAACTTTATAATAATTCAAGCGCAAGAAGATGCAAACATTTTGGTGTATGATATGTAGAAGAAACTGCTCTAGAAGGGACAGATGCACTTTAAACAAATGGCATAGTGACAAAAGAACATTAGTTTTGAATTACTGGAGTAATATCAATATCGGCCATAAAATTAAAGCTTGAATGACACTAAGCATACTGAGAAATTACAAACCGGATTCCAAAAAAGTTGGGACACTAAACAAAATGTGAATAAAAACTGAATGCAATGATGTGGAGGCACCAACATCTAATATTTTATTTAGAATAGAACACAAATCACAGATCAAAAGTTTAAACTGAGAGAATTTATCATTTTAAGGGCAAAATCTGTTGTTTCCAAATTTCATGGCGTCAACAAATCCCAAAAAAGTTGGGACAAGTCCATTTTTACCATTATGTGGCATCCCCCCTTCTTCTTACAACACTCAACAGACGTCTGGGGACAGAGGAGACCAGTTTCTCAAGTTTAGAAATAGGAATGCTCTCCCATGAATGCTCTCCCATTCATGTCTAATGCAGGCTTCCAACTGTTCAATCGTCTTGGGCCTTCTTTGTCGCACCTTCCTCTTTATGATGCGCCAAATGTTCTCTATAGGTGAAAGATCTGGACTGCAGGCTGGCCATTTCAGTACCCGGATCCTTCTCCTATGTAGCCATGATGTTGTGATTGCTGCAGAATGTGGACTGGCATTATCG